TCCATCATTTATTTGTTCATCTATCTGTCTCACAACCATTTTTTGCGCAGATTCTAACAACACAAAAAAAGAATCAGTATTGTTTGACACAAGATTCAACGACAAATTATCAAAAATAAAATCTTTCAGGTGTGATTAATGATATGATTAATTTTTCAAAATTACATTGAAAAACTGATAAAAAATTTTAAATGCAAAATTAATTAGGCAAAAAATTTTGTTTGAGGTATATTTTTATTTTTAACACGAGCCGATCAGATTGATTTTTTTAATCAATTAATTTTAAATGCAAAATTAATTAGGCAAAAAATTTTGTTTGAAGTATATTATTATTTTTAACACGAGCCGATCAGATTGATTTTTTTTAATCATTTTAGACAAATGAGAAAAACACGACAGACTGACATCAAACAAGCAACAGTCAATCAACTTCTGCGGAAATGTTGCGCCGAAAATTGTGATGAACAAATTTTGAAGTCTGTTCAAAAATTTGTTTGATGAATCTCAATTTTTTGAGATTTATTCAAACTTATTTTTATCTTTTTGATGAACATTTTACACAAAAAAACTAGGTTAGTGGAAACTGGTACCACCATGAGATTGTGTGAAAATGCTTTTCAATTTGAGTAAAGAGAGGGAGAGATTAAGAAAATAAGAGGAAAAGAGAAAGATTGAAAGAAAATAAGAGTGATTGAAAAAAAAAGAGATTGATATAAGAAGAAAGAGGAAGATTGAAAAAATAAGAGAGATAAGGTTGAAGAAAAACAGAAAGAGCAAATATGAAAGAACGAGAAAAAAAGAGGGGGAGGAAGGAAAGAAAGAAATTGATTGGATGAAAGAGCGCTAGATGGAGAGAAACAGAGAAAGAGATTGAAAGAAAAAACTGCATACCATGCTATTAAGGATTTTTGACATTGAGTTTGTAAGATTTTTTAAGATACTTGGGGAAAACAGAATATTTAAAATTCAGTTTTTAAACTCGCCTCAAACTACTAAAAATAACAAAAAATAAAACATGGCGTTAGAAACTAGACCTGCTTAAAAAAGACTTGCCAGGATTATAACGCAAATTGAATACATCTGTGAATGTTGTGTCGGTGTGTTTTGCGCCAATTACAGCAGATGCAACAAAGATACTGTCAAAGATACAACCAACTAATACAAAAACATTTAGTTTGAATTCAATGAGAAAAATATTTTTATTTATTTATTTTTTTTAAATAAAATTGCGTTTTTGAGAAGTGATGAATGATAGTTATAATGTTAATGGTTAAGGGAAATCGGTTAATCAAACCATGGAATAATCTTGTTTCATTATATGTCAAAAAGTAATAAATCAAGTATTTCACAAAAGAATATAAATTTTGGAAATCATAAAATAAAATGATTGGTACTTTTTTTATTCTATGTTTGCGTTATGCAGCCTGGTTTAAAAAAGAACGTAGCACAGCTACTGAATGGTGGGTCGTGTTTGAAAGTTGGAAGCATCAGAGGTTAATTGCTGGAATGCTTCGATGTGTCAAAGCGCCATACATTGTAAATATAAAGATAGATGTTCATTAGTAGATGTTCATAAATTTGATGATTTTTAAAAATACCAGTTTAACTGATTCAAAATAATGTAGATGTAGTTGATGTAGTTTCAATGCAAGTAGGCATGGGATTGACACCAACACGATGAATAAAAAGTTGTGATTTGTTTGGTCATGTGAATGATTGTATGAGTTGGCTGGCAAAATGAAAGGTGAAATATATAACATCGATGAATGTCATCTCTCATTTTTGGGCAAGCTTAATAAAAAGGCAAATTGTTGATGATCTGATTCACAGGATGAAGTTCATGTACTTTCTAGTATAAATACAACTTCTGTGATTTGAGTGCTGTTGTTTATTCCAAACATGTATTGGAAAATCATGTGCCGAATAGAAAAAAAAATATTACGCTGGGTGTCATAGGGAAAAGTTTAAGCACTTATCAGCTGTGCATTTCTCTGCCTGTTCAAATCTCACATGTCCTTGCCGTTGGAGTTTAGTGTCCAGATGTAGAACTCATATAATTTAGGTCTAACAAAATAAATTGAGAAAAATCTTGCCAATCTCTAAAATACAGCAAAAAATGTTTCACTACTTGTTTGCAACCATCAATGAAACAAGTTATAAATTTGATTTCAAATAATTAAAAAAGTTTCTATTCTAGTTAATCTGACCTGTTTTTCAAAAAGTTCTGAGTTTTACTTTCTGAGTCATCCAATAATAAACCATAACAAAGAGTACTTGGATTCATTACCTATTAGTTGCACTTGAAGATGATTTGAGTGTAATCTTGATGGACCAACCAACGACTTCCCGGTGATCGAGGACTGAAATGCACTTTCAAAATGCATCTTCTCTTGTCACTTCTCTGATCCATGCCGCACGAGAATTCCTGCAACTGCAACTCACCGATGTAGCGATTATAACTATTTCCCATTTTTTCAGAATATTTTGACGTGAGACTGGCAGCGACTTTCTTCAGAGTTTGCTCTGCTCTGTAAGTTGTCTTCAAACGTTTTTAATCAAATAATATAAAATAGGTCACATAACAAATGACATTCTAAACGTAAAAGTAGTCAGTCAAAGAAAATTTATAATTTTGTCTGCAAATAACATTCCAACATAGCATTCCAATATAGCATTCCAACATAACATTTCAACATAACATTCCAACATTAAGTTCCAACATGTGTGGTGTGTGTGTGCAAACAAACGGTTGTATGTGTATTTGTATATCTTTATATATCACACAAGCATACTTATCAAGAGGTTATATTAAATTTCTTAAATGCGTCAATATGATGGGCTGTTCGATTTATTTTTGAACACGTCGCGCTTAGGGGTGTTTGCCCGACCGAATTTCAACGTTTGCGCCAATGTGTGCAACTTTTTAACTGTCAGTCAGTGTTCGAGTAGGAATGCGTTGATATTTAGTGTAGGAAACTTTTCTATGGAGCGTTAAAGGCGTTGTAATGAGTGGAGTGGAATAATGTAAAATATTTTTTTTGAATTCATAAACTAATCATAACTTTGCGAGAACATTCGCTCGCACGTCTTACAAATGTGTGGGATCGGCAAGCACCCTAACTTTTATTTGGCGCTATTCAACGTTGATAAGTTTAGAAAATAAAGTTAATAGAGCATAAATATTATACATAAAAATATATATATACTATATATAGGTAATATAAATAAATGCATATAGTTATATAATGAAAAATGTTACCATTTGGTTTTCTATTTTCAATTTTTCCAACTTATTTTTACATTTTTAAATTAATTAAAAGTTTTCTTATTTTCATAATTTATCACATTATTGTTTATTTTTGTTGTGTTCTATGTAATTCTAAAAATAACAATAATTTTATTATAAATTAACGCACAGCCCTATGACGTCACAAGCAAACATTTAAATTTATTAGGCGCAAAGATTATAAAGTGGCTGTTTTGAAATGTTGATTTTTTCTTAAAAAATGGGAAAATAAAAAATCTACGCAGAATAAAGAAACTTTTGCCTTTTCTTGATGATCCTACTCTTCTCCTTCTTCTTACTAGGTTAGTCTCATCTAGTATTGATTATTGTAACTCGCTCTACTATGGTCTTCCTGATTCTATCTAAACTCTATCCTTTAAGTAAAGCTTTAACTCTACTGCTCGTCTGGTTGCTCGTGCCCCTTTCTTTTCTCATATTTCTCCATATCTTGTTCTCTTGCACTGGCTACATATAAAATATAGAATAATTTTTTAAATTTGCACGTTCATGTATAAGTCTCAATCTAAATTATTTCCTAAAAACTTATCAGATACATTAATTGAACCTAAACGCCCCGGTTTACGATCGACTTGTTTTCGCTTCATCTTAAACACTCTTTTGCCAAATCTACTTTGGCTTTTTCTTGTCTTTTCCTCTGGAACTCTCTACCTACTTCTCTGACTACTTCTCCATCACTTACAAAGTTCAGAGCGGATCTCAAGACCCATCTGTTTTCAAAATTCATTGAGAAGCGCTGTTGAACATCGCAAAATAGCGCTTTAAAAGCTAATTGATTGATTGTTGAGAAAAATACTAATGGAAATTTTTAATTAATATTACGTTAGCATAAAAATATTAATTAGAATAATTGTAATCTCAAAAAGTGAATATTGAAATCAATAGCATCGTTTTAATATTATAAATTATAATTTATGTAATTAGTTAAGTTGCATACATACGGAAACAATTCTCAAAAAATATTTTCAACTTCACTGACATGGTGACACTCACATCTGCAGCTTTTTCCATTTTGCATGCACCAAATCCTCCCCGGAGCTTCATTCAGCACAAAATGTCCCCACTATATTATTTCAGCTTTGGATCAAAAACCAATAACGAGCAGAAACAGTTTAATGTCTGCTTTTGTGAGGCTTTCTTTTAATTTAACCATTCCAAATTATAAAATTGCTTCAAAAATTTAATGTTAAGATTAAATGATTTTCTATTAGAGTTTATTTATCTGTTAAAAAATGTTACGAAATTGTCTGTTGCTGGTTTTTGTTGCATATATCTTTTAAAGTATTTTTCATGGACATTTTGTTTTATTTCATATTTCAACATTGGCATCAATAAATTTAAATAATTCTTCCATATTTCTGTCACAATTTTTGTCATCATTATATTTTTTTCAAAAATTACGCCATTTAATTGTTATCATAATTGTAATTGTCATCATCATCCTTATTGTATATGTCATCATCATCAAAATAGTCCTTGCAATTAAAAACCATAAATTCAAAGACCTCAATAAAGAACAATTAAAAACCATAAATTCAAAGACCTTCACTTCCCATCCTTCAGACGCCTGACAAAACTTGAAACCGTCGCATCAACCGCCCTGACACATGCACCACCAACATCGCCAACATCATCTTCGTCGTCATCAACAACATCAACAACAACAATATCAACAACAAAACGAACAACAAGAACAATGGCCATGACCTTGTTAGATGCATCATTATCATCTCCTCCTTCGACAGAACCACCCACAAAGAAACAGTCTAAAAATTTGAATGTGGCCGTTAACAATCAGCAGAATTCCAATCAGTTGTTGCAGTGTCAAACCTGCTTCGATCGCATTCCATTCCACCAAGCAGCACACAGCCAACTGCAACAAACACATAACGAACACAAACAACACCAAAAATACCATCTTCAACAACTACAACTTCAACAACTACAACTTCAACAACATCAGCAACAGCAACATTGTACATGTCACATACATAACATTGTACAAATGAAACATTTGCAGCCACATTCAGAACATAGCTGCACACAACACTTGTCAACCATTCCATTTTTACAAGAACAACAACTGTTTCATCGCCATGAAATCGATCAAAGCTTCGGTGGTTACGATAACGACCACGAATCAGATTCCAACAACGTCGACAACTTCACAAACGCTAGTAATGTGAATGCCAAACAAAATGATGGAAATGTTGAGTGGAGTTCGCTGCTGCTCGATGAAACGTGCTTTTGTAACAGTTGTCATGATTCGACTCATCCGACGCAAACACTGAAATCATGTTGGTGTGGAAAAAATAAATGCAACAAGCTTGTTGACATGTTGCTTCGATCGAATTCCAACATTTTTCCCAACAGCAACAAGTCGTCGGCGTCAACCAGCAACGTCAACAAAGATTATCCCCATCCTTATTTGCCGCTGAAACAAGAACCTCTTTGCTGCTGTGAAATGCTAAACACAACTAGAGAAACATTTTCATTTTTTGACAAATAACAATAATGAAAAAATTATAAACATTATTTAAACTATATTATAAACATTTCCTTTTTAATAGGCTTATATGATTTGAGTTTGAATTATGATGCAAACAATATTTTGAAGCAATAATTGACAACACTTTCCGCTTACGTGTTAAACTGAGGTGATGCAGCGAAGAAATACAACAGCTCACCAAACCCTCACAAGATTCTCTATAAATTTGAGGTGTACATAAAAGCACCTAGTTTAGTAGGATTTGAGATAAATTGCCTATAAAAATTGTTAATATATATGTAATGTTGAAATGAAATATTTATTTTGTATAATGTTGAAATGAAATATTTATTTTGTATAATGTTGTTATATAACCTTGATCAAGCCTCATTTTAATGATCATTAAGTTTAACTTAATTAGATACAAATGTATAATTATTTTTATAACGCCATTTCCGTAGTGTTTAACAGCGTTTTCCAAATTTTGCAAACAGCTCTGAACATCGTAATGACTGAGAATTATTTGAGAAAAAGGTAGAGAGTTTCCGATAAAAAAGACCAAAAATATCGAAAGCAGATATAGCTAAAATAATGGTTAACGATAATCAAAAATGTGTAAACAAGAAAAAGATTGTATGCCACAGTTGAAGTTAATTTGAAGCAAAAATGTTTGAAACTCATAGTAGATAAAGTGCAAAGCATTTTCAATATCAAAGTTCCGTTTTGGCGTTGGTTGTGGGTTCAGCAAAAACATTTGATATTCATTAGCAAAGTTAATAAAATCGCCGATACATTTTTATAGGTAAAAAAATCATTATTCAAGTTTTTCCAATTGATAAATTTGCTATTCACCTTTTTTTACCATTTTTGCTTAACTTTTAGAATACAAGTTTCCTTATTTCATGCATTTGTTCTTCCTGTGTCGTTTAATTGAATAAATTCAATAGCATATGAGGACAATAATTTCGTTTTCAATTGTTTCATTATTACTAAAAACTGAGCCCCGAAATATTATTCTCACACAAGATCCGCGGTACGTTACAGAGATTTAGAGTGAATATTTATCATTTTTATGGCAGTTCTGCACATTGCAGTGTGGTGTCAATGACATTATATTTTTTAATTTTCATTAGGAATTTGTTATTCACGTATTTTCATCCAGTTAAATTTTCTACATATTGATTAGCACCCTTTAATATATTCCACACAGCATTATTTCAAAATGTTCTGTTACCTAGTTCAGTTTCAATATCATAAAAACAAATTAAAGCACATTTCAAAATAAAACAAATACAATAGAATAACTGATAACCAAATTTTATAATGAATCCAAAAAAACAGCAAATTTCATGAAAACAAACGTGTTGAACGGTTTTTAGATATTGGAATATTAGGACATAAACTTAGTCCCCGAATGTGCTGGAACGAGAGCGAGGCCCTGGAGCAATAAAAAATCAGGAGCTCCTATTAGTTCAATAACTTTATTTCATTTATTTTAATTTCCAGAATCCACGTGACAATTAAATTTTTAATCTGATGGAGATGTACTTTGTTTGTTCCGCATTCTTCAACATGTTCTTTATTTGTACCAGTGTTTTTAAAGAGAAAAAATATTAAGATTACATCATCTTTCATGTGTCAGTTCCTGGTTCATGGAGAACTCGGAGCAGTAGCCCTGTCTTAAATTCCGTCCTACTACTTACATATTACATATTATTTGTGATGTGCATTTACTTGTTTATTTGTTAACACAATAAACGTTCAAATATTTAAAAATTGTCTCAGCATTTCCACAAATGAAAAAAATTGTCTAAAATTAACTTTTTTTGCTACTTTTTTTGGTCAAAAAACTACATCATATGTAGTGTACACATGTACATTGTACATCCCCCAATTCATTTGTCAATTTATTAATGGTTCATGAAATTTGCTTTAACATTAGAATGTTACCGAGGCAAATGATATTTTGCCAGTTTTTTCAATATTTTTGTGTCATGTGATGGTAGGCTCTTCGGTGCTTAAACCATACAAAAATAAAACGTTGAACTAAAATATTTAGTATCTTAATCAACTAATAAATAAAAATAATAAAGAAAATAATGCTATTATTGTTTCATGAACATAACACATTTTGATGTGTTCAAAATTTCTTCATTAACATTCAGTTAACTACCAAATAGTTTAATATTGTTTAAAACCTGCACACGATACCGTTTTATAAACACGAAAGTATTGCATTGCATTGGTGTTGCGATCATATGTTTAGAATCAAGTACATAAAATACATTTAAAACTGAAGTTGAAAATGGCGAAGTTGAAAACTTTATTTAACGACATTTTCCCCCAAACAAAATTATTTGAAGATTAAAGTCATCAAATTGAATAAAAAATTTTTATTCAATATTTGAATAGTTATAGTCAAGTCAAGGGCGGATCCAAGAAGTTTGACTGGGGGGGGCGAAAATTTTTAAATAAATATTTTGTAATGTTGAATATATCCATTTTTGATTATAAATTTTAGAATGTAAATTAATTGAATAATATAATGTTTTATGTTTACTTTGATTTATTTATAATTTTTATTACAAATGATCAAAGGAAAATTATGAACGTACCCACGCGGCAAAATACACTTGAAAATTTTTTGAACGCTTCTTCCGTCTGATTTTCATTTTAAAAATTCAAATTTGAGTTGCGCTAGTAATAGTACTGTATAAGTATCATAATTCATAATCATATTTTCAGTTTTTTTAGAAGATTAATTTAAATATATATGGATCGTTTTGTGAAGCGAACTAAAAGGGCACATCCACCAGGTTAGATCACCATACGATATGAATTTGTTCACTAGTAGCATAGAAATTGTTAAATAAGTGTTCAGAGTTAAGTTAAATTTAGTTTATTTTTTTAGAACTACATGAAGGCGATAGTTCCGATAATCATAATGAAAAAGTGATTGTTAAAAATGATGAATCATTTGAGCAAGTAGCTTTGCACGATAATGACGAAGATAACAAGATAAAGAATAATGAAAAAGTCTATCAACAAATGGATTTTGTACATAATGATGATATTGGACTGTATGTGGGCAGCAGTAATAAAACAATTAATGATGATATAAAATTTGAACTTCTACAAAATCCATGGAAACCAGAATTTGGCTACAAATTTCCGTATTCAAATCATATTAAAAATGGTAAAAATGAAAAACGGTACATTTTGAAAAGTTACTTGGAAACATTTAATGCATGGTTGACATACTCGCATGTGGAACAAGGTTTATTTTGCAGGTATTGTGCTCTAATGGCTGACACCGGCGGTATTAGTCATCAAACGCCATTGCAAAAATTAGTAAAAAAACCACTTACATCATTTGCAAAATTATTAGGCAAAGATGGTGATCTCGGCTGTCATGAACAATACAGGTATCACAAAGAGTCAGTTCAGAGGGGCAATGATTTTGTCAAATCATACCAAAATCCATCATTTGAAGTTGTTAATCAACTCTATTCCGCAAGATATCAGCAAATGAAGGAAAACAGAGAAAGATTGAAGCCCATAATTAAATCTATTATTTTTTTGGGAAAACAAAATATTCCTCTACGAGGACATCGAGATGACGGAAAACTTAATATAAGTACTAATGATGCAGGCGATGCTGATAATGATGATGATGAAGATGATGAAAATGTGGACAATGACATGCTTAATGAAGGGGTATATGGTACCGGTCCAGTTAGAAATGAGGGTAATTTCAGAGAACTACTTCAGTTTAGGGTCGATGCTGGAGACCATGTTCTTGAAGAACATTTAAAATCATCTAAATCAAATGCGACATACATAAGCAAAACGATTCAAAATGAAATCATAACCACAATTGGCAATATTATTACAGATACTATTGTACAGAGAGTTAAAGCAGCCAAATTTTATTCAGTTTTATTTGATGAAACAACTGACATATATGGTATTGAGCAATTGTCTTTGAGCTTACGATATGTTTACAACGGCCAGGTTAGAGAAGATTTTGTTGCATTTGTGGATTCTCTAGAGGATGCATACAAAGATATAGAATCGGAACCAAAATTAACCGGAAAAATGTTAGCCGGCTCAGTGTTACGTTTACTAAAAGCGCTAACTTTAGATCCAAAGTATTGTGTTGGTTGTGGAACAGATGGATGTTCTGTCATGACATCTCAGTCATGTGGTGCAGCTGCAGAAATATCAAAAAAAGCTACATCATGTATTCATTGTGTTTGTACTAACCATGGACTGAACTTGAGTTTATCTAAAACATCCGATGTACAAGCCATAAGAAATGCAATGGGCACTATTAAGCAAACGGCTTCCTTTTTTCGCGCATCGGCCAAAAGAAAATTAGTGCAAAGAATAATGTTTAAAAATGAAAGTCAAAATTTGAGACAAAATGTCATGCCTTTATGTGAGACACGTTGGGTTGAACGCCATGATTCGATTATCAGTTTTAGACAGTCCCTGCAATATGT